CACGGGCCTAAGTCTGAACATCAAGAAAACAGAAACAATGGGGATTAACAGAAAAACTCCAACACCAACTTGCAATATCAGAATCAATGTTACCACCCTCAAGCAAGTACAACATTTTAAATATTTGGGGAACATTATATCATCAGATGGGAGATGTCATACCGAAATTAAAAGTCGCATTTGCCGAGCAAAAGCAACCTTCCACAAAATGAAACAGATACTTACAAACATCAGTCTGTCACTGGAAACAAGAAAAAGAATACTGAAAAGTTACATAGAGCCAGTCCTACTATACGAGTGCGAAGCATTGACAATCAATAAATAGAAAGCTGGAAAGAACACTTGAAGCGACATAATTGGGGTTCATAAGACACATGCTGCGTATCCCATGGACAGTTAGAAAAACAAATGAAGTAGTCTTGGTTGAAAGAAATTGCAGACGACAGCTTATAACGAATATACGAAAACGACAGGTAAATTTCAAATGGACACACAAGGCGGAAAGAAGCATTGGAGAATATTGTATCAACAGGCAAGTTTAATGGAAAGAGAGGCAAAGGCAGACAGAGTAAAGTCAATGATCGCCCACGCCAGTCGGCAATGCACCGGATGACGATGATAGTTACATTAAAAAATCAGTTTATCTTGTTAAACAATGTGATCTATTGAGTACCGTAACATGACACTTCATGTTGTGACCTATTTGGTACTGTATTATAACGCTAAATGGTGTTATCTATTGAGGTTTGTGTCCAGATACAGAGATAGTATGATCGATCTATTACTGTATTGTCACATTAAATGTGATCTTTGTGGTACTGTATCATCTCACTAAAGGATGTGTTTAATAAGATCACACTAAATGGTGTGATATATTTAGTACTGTGTGATCGTATTCAAACAGTTCATCATTAATAAGTCTATTTCAAACTGTCAACGGTAATACCATACGAAAAGACGCAGTCCATTGCCCCCCCCCCCCTCTCCTTTCCACATTCTTTCTCCCACGTCTTTATAAAGTTCATAATGAAAACCTCTGGCTCTAATTATTTTTATAGCCATTGGCATGAATCAGTCTCTTTTAAATTCACCAAAGGTATCATCACTACGCCACTGCCTCAGAATTACAAACTTCTATCCGTCATTTTTGGCCGTTTTCAGTTACTAAGACCATGAGATCAGAAACCGATTGCTCTGTCTGCTCAATTAGAATTGTGAGATTATTCGGAGTCGTTATCAATTATATTGGAAGAACTTCATTTAAAAAGGTTCGACATATTGTGAAACTCAAAATATTTGATGTCACATTTCTCAGAATTCGGTACTGAATAGATAGAACTTTGTGAATCTAGGGTAGCGATAAATCACGCCCCCTCCCCCCCATGTCCACTCCCCAGGTGTCCATATCGTTCAGCGTGCACAAGTCCGAGCCTAACAGAAACGTGTCGGTGACGCTGACGGCTGACGCTAACTCTACCGTCAACGTCCTAGCAGTGGACCAGAGCGTGTTACTACTTAGGGCCGGGAATGACATCACCGCCAAAAAAGTAAGTCACTGCTGGGTTTTTTTTTAATACAGAACAACGCAGTCCGTCCCAACGTCTTGATTTTAAAGGATTTTGTTTAAAAACGTGTTTCAAATTATTCACAATTCACTTTAATGATGTTTTGGAGAAATATTGAAACTGTTTGCGTACGCTTGTCTTCCTTCCTACTAGTAACTTTTCACCCC